CCACACCCCGGTCCACGGACCTATAACAATTTCTGTGTATTGCTACACTCAGAATCATTGTGGAATAGTGTATAGAACAGCCAGCCACCCTTTACGGTGATTTTGAGGACTTAAAAAGTCTTGGATAGCCTGGACAGAGAACCACAGTGGAAACTCCTATGTCACTCTATGTACCAAGATACGGCTCGGTGGATGTAAGGTTGAGTGATCTCAACCTTATGGCTCATTTGAAGGCACAGTTCCTGAATTCAGGCTGTGTGCATTTCTCTACAGACTGAGCATTTAGATACGCAGTATTTATATAGCACATAGAACCCTCTTTGACATTAGAAGGCTTAGACCAGGGGTCTCAAACTCAAATTGGCTTGAGGCCACTACTGCTATTTACATCTCGTAAGAGGGCCACTCCACCATTTAAGTACTACAAGAACGTGCAATATTCTGTTATTTTCATTACTACTATATACATTTTTATATCATTGCTCAGCCAGACAACAAATGAAGGACTGAAACCTGCTCTTATCAACCCTTTCCTTGTTCTTTAAAACCAAATAGAGCCTTTATTTTGATATATGAAGAGGTAGTTTAAATGAATATAAAAACTACAAAAAATAATAAGGTGGCTTTTGTTTATATTGTAGCCTTATTTATTTAACAACATTGTATTTTAAGTATTACAATTAATTAAAGAATTATGAGTTGAAAACTGTTTATTTATTGGCAGGCAACATATGCTATATTCCCCTCTTTCTCTTAGAGATACAACTAAAACCAAAGCAGTCTATTCTGGTTACTGGGTGCAGTTTGAGCTTTATTGTTTCCCACGGAATGAACAGTGGAGGGTATATCTCTATTTCTATGGGTCATTTCTGTTTAACCATTTTAATTCTACTTAACTCTCTCCCTTATTTTGGTGTTTTATTGTTTACTCACAAAATATGCTCTAGCTTTTTCTCCTCACACACATACACCTGTCTGACTGACCATGACTGCCCCGCCTCTTTCTGCTCCTGATTGGCTCTTCTGATCAGGGTTTATTGAGATCACTGATCAAACTAATTAAACAATAACAATAATAATGATGATAATAATAATAATAATAACAATAATAATAATAATGATATTGAAGACCTGAATACTGTTGGGTCTCTGTAAATAATGTTATATGTAAATAAGGAGTTCGGTCTACACCTGCTCTATTTAAAAAGTGTCCTGAGATAATTCAATTCAATTCAATTCAATTTTATTTGTATAGCGCCAATTCATAACAGAAGTTATCTCAGGACACTTTTCAAATAGAGCAGGTCTAGACCGAACTCTTTAACATTAATGACAGAGACCCAACAGTACCACCATGAGCAAGCACTTGGCGACAAGGGCAAGGAAAAACTGCCTGTTAAAAGGCAGAAACCTAGGACAGATCCTCCGGCTCTAGGTGGGTGGTCGTCTGTCTCGACCAGTTGGGGTGAGAGAGAGAGAGAGAGAGAGAGAGAGAGAGACAGACAGGTGCACAGCAACAACAGTATTGGCAATGGCAGTCAAGCAGGACCATGGCAGGAGGCTCCACCAGGATCCATGAGAACCTGCGAGACGAGAAAGCACAAGAACTCCGGGGAAGAAGTGGAGTTAGTAACATGCATTAAAGGGACATGAATGAGTGCAGAAAGAGAGAGGAAGAGAGTAGCTCAGTGCACCATGGGAAATCCCCCGATAGTCTAGGCCTATAGCAGCATAACTAAGGGATGGTTCAGGACTCACCTGATCCAGCCCTAACTATAAGCTTTATTAAAGAGGAATGTCTTAAGCCTACTCTTGAATGTGGTGAGGGTGTCTGCCTCCCGAACCACAACTGGAAGCTGGTTCCACAGGAGAGGAGCTTGGTAACTGAAGGCTCTGGCTCCTGTTCTACTTTTAGAGACTATAGGAACCACAAGTAGCCCAGCATTCAGAGAACGTAGTGTTCTAGAGGGGTAATAGGGTACTATGAGCTCTTTAAGATATGAAGGGGCCTGACCATGAAGAGCTTTATAGGTGAGGAGGAGGATTTTAAATTCAATTCTACATTTTATAGGGAGCCAATGCAGAGTAGCTAGTACAGGAGAGATGTGATCTCTTTTTCTAGTTCCTGTCAGTACTCATGCTGCAGCGTTCTGAATTAATTGGAGCGTTTTAATGGACTTATTGGGGCAACCTGATAATAAAGAGTTGCAGTAATCCAGCCTTGAAGTAACAAATGCATGGATTAGTTTTTCTGCGTCTGTCTGTGATAGTATGTGTCTAATTTTTCTAATATTACGTAAATGAAAGAAGGCAGTCCTAGAGGTCTGCTTTATGTGGGAGTTAAATGACAAATCCTGATCAAAGATAACTCCAAGATTCCTGATAGTGGTGCTAGAGGCCAAGTTAATGCCATCTAGAGTGACTATATCTTTAGACAATGAGTCTCTAAGGTTTTTGGGGCTAAGAACAAGAATTTCGTTTTTTTCTGAGTTTAACATCAGAAAATTGCATGTCATCCAGGATTTTATGTCCTTAAGACATGTTTGTAATTTAGATAATTGATTAATTTCATTGGGTTTGATTGATAGATATAACTGCGTATCATCTGCATAACAGTGAAAGTTAATGGAGTGATTCCTAATAATGTTGCCTAAAGGGAGCATATATAAAGTAAATAGTATTGGTCCAAGTACAGAACCTTGTGGAACTCCATGACTAACTTTAGTATTTATGGAGGATTCATCGTTAACATGTACAAACTGAGAACGATCTGATAAGTATGACTTAAACCAGCTTAGTGCGGTTCATTTAATGGCAATTTGATGCTCAAGTCTCTGTAAAAGAATATTATGGCCAATGGTGTCAAATGCAGCACTAAGATCTAATAATACAAGTACAGAGACAAGTCCATTGTCAGAAGCAGTCAGAAGGTCATTATTAACTTTAACCAGAGCTGTCTCTGTGCTATGATGAACTCTAAATCCTGACTGAAAATCCTCAAATAAAATATTGTTATGTAGAAAGTCACACAACTCTTTGGCGACTACTTTCTCCAGAATCTTAGAGAGGAAGGGGAGGTTAGAAATTGGTCTATAGTTGGCTAAAACCCCTGGGTCAAGAGTGGGCTTTTTAAGAAGGGGTTTAATTACAGCTACTTTAAAGGACTGTGGTACATATCCTGATAATAAAGAAAGATTAATCATATCCAGTAAAGAAGTGCCAATTAAGGGAACAACTTCTTTAAGCAGCCTAGTTGGGATCGGGTCTAATAGACAGGTTGATGGCTTCGATGAAGAAATGATTGAAGTTAACTGATGAAGATCGATAGCAGAAAAACAGTCTAAATATATGTCTAAGTTTACATTAGTAAAAGTCCCTGAACTTGGAGAGCCACTGATAACTGTTGATGGCAGTTGGTGATTAATTTTCTCTCTAATAGTAATAATTTTATTATAGAAGAAGCTCATGAAGTCATTGCTACATAAGGTTATGGGGATATGTGGCTCAATAGAGCTGTGACACTGGCTACAGTGCTGAAGAGGAACCTAGGGTTATTCTTATTTTCTTCTATTAGTGCTGAGTAATAGGCTCCTCTGGCATTACGGAGGGCCTTTCTATAAGTTTTAAGATTATCTTGCCAAATTGAGCGATGTTCTGATAATTTGGAAAAGCGCCATTTCCTTTCAGATTTCCTAGCTATTTGCTTTAACTGGCGGGTTTGGTGGTTATACCAAGGTGCTAGTCTCCTATGTTTTAATAATTTCCTTTTTATAGGAGCGATAGAGTCTAATGTTGATCGTAGTGAGCCTGCAGCACTATCGACAAGATTATCAATTTCAGAGGGACTAAAGTCCTTATAGGACTCTGTTAAATTCAGACATGGCATTGAATTAAACACTGAAGGAATCTCCTCCTTAAATTTAGCTACAGCACTGTCAGATAGACATCTGCTGTAGGAAGTTTTGCCTAATGGCTTATAATCTAATAGTATGAATTCAAAAGTTATTAAATAATGGTCAGATAGGAAAGGATTATGTGGGAAGACTATTAAATGTTCAATATCAATGCCATATGATAGAACAAGGTCAAGAGTGTGATTAAAACAATGAGTTGGTTTATTTACACTCTGACAGAAGCCAATTGAGTCTATTAATGATATAAATGCATTACTAAGGCTGTCATTGTTAACATCCACATGAATATTAAAATCACCTACAATAATTACTTTATCTGATTTAAGGACTAAACTTGATAGAAACTCTGAGAATTCAGATATAAAATCAGAGTACGGTCCAGGAGCGCGGTACACTATAACAAATAGAACTGGCTGCAGTGTTTTCCAGTTTGGGTGAGAAAGACTAAGAACAAGGTTGCAGAAGCTACCTTCGGTTGGACCGCACCGGCTACTGGGGGCTGGCTAACTATAGCAGCTAAAGATATCTCCGTGGTGCGGTACCGTTCCTCTAACTCACTAAGCCTCGCCTCCAGCGCAGTAAATAAACTACATTTAATACAGGTACCATTATTATTAAAGGAGGCAGAGGAATAACTGAACATCTGACACACTGAGCAGGACAGAGGAGAGGGAGAGGGAGAAGCCATAGCTAACTGCTAATGCTAATGAAACTAACGTGTATGAAAAACTTTGAAAGTAGTGAAAAGTCGCTAAAAGAAGGAGAAACTCCGAGTGTTTAGGTAGAACTAGTCTACGTTTAAATGTTAAGCTGGAGAATAACCGCTGTAACGAGTAAAACTAATGTATATTTAGCGTTCACTGACAGAGCTACAGCACCAAACAGTGTACACAGAGCAGGAAGTAAACCGGAAATGAGTCAGTACGCTTACCGTAGCACATCAGACAGCAGCTCTGCACCTAACATATCTATATATATATTATATTCTGTTTCTGACAGTAGACCCTCCTACATGTTACACACTGGATCTTTAAGAAAAAGACATCGAGGAAATATCCACAAAGAAAATCCTAATCCACATTTAACTCTATTTCTTTTTGTTTTATTTCTCATTCCAGATGTGTGATATTACATACACCACGTGCTGTTAGCCAGAAATGTGAACAGAAGAGATCCATACAGAAGAATAAACATTTGAGCTAGGTTGAGTTACACAATCACACAAAGTTAGATGTATTTTATGATGTCTAAAATTGGAGCACACATGTACAACCTGTGGAATATTAATATAGGTTTAGTGCAGGGTGTTGTATTTTGATAATATGTTTTCCATATACATCCATAATAGCCTTAAAAGAATGAAATATGCAGAATTTGTACAGATACATGTAAAAACTGAAGCATGTTTCTAAGCAATAGAACCCATTTTGTGTATCTTAAAAAATCTAAAAATCACTCCTCTGATCTGAGGCAGATTCAGGCCGTAAACTAGAGGATTATTGATGGGAGGAATGATCAAAAACTCCAGAGATAAAACAACTGTTACAAATGGATTTGCTTCATCCACCTTATAACGACTCAGTGAAAGCTCACAGAACACTGAGATGCAGTAGGTCACAAATGTCACAATGTGAGGCAGGCAGGTTTTTAACGCCTTTCCTCTGAATTCAGACGAACTTCTCCTGCAAACCAGCAGAATGCGCAGGTAGGTGTACAAGACAAAGAACAGGGGGATGAAGACTGATAACACAGAAAGAACTCGGCCTGCTAAGCTGTTCACAGTTGTGTCCACACAGGAGAGCTGAACCACAGGCCAGTTGGTGCAAAAAAGCCTGTGCAGTTTATTTCCACATAAAGGAAGCCAGCTGGCCAGAAACACACAGAAAACAACAACAACTGCAGGGTAGACCACAGCAAAAATGATAAGATTCCTCACCATCCTAAAGTTCATTTTACTGTGATAATGTAAAGGCTGGCAAATAGCAACCAATCTATCATAGGCCATGACGCTGAGAAGAGTTAGCTCGTGTCCTATATACGTGTAAATAACATATATCTGGATGAAACAAGATGCACGTGAGATGAAATGAGTGTCAGACAGAATGTCCATCAGAAACCTGGGGAAGAAGCCGGCTGTGCCGTACAGAGAGTTTAAAGACAGAAAGGAGATAAAGATGTACATGGGCTGATGCAGAGACTTCTCCTGGCAGACTGTCAGAATAATGACAACGTTAGCAGAGATTATAGTCATGTAGACCAACAGACACAGACTGAAGAACAGATATCTGAGGGACCCATAATCTGCAAACAGAGTCAACTGGAAATAGACAGGATTCAGGCTGTTGTTGCTCTTCATGTCTGCACAACAGCAGAGCCGGAAGAAGAGAAGTGAGAGTGATGGAGAGAAAGAGGGGAGAAAACAGATTTAAAAAAAAAAAAAATTAAATTGACCCGAACAACATTTCCTATTTAACCCTTAATTTATCAGGATGCATAACATTACACATTTCAAATAATTTTACCTGATAATATTGAACATATCTAACAAATTCCAGGTAACTAAAATAGATGGAAAGTGGAAAACGTCTGTGACACTAATTGCATAAAGCAAACATTTCTCATTATCACAATCTTTCAGTGGAATGAATGAAGAATAAATGTATGCAGGTTATCAAGGCTCACAGATAACAGTTAAAACTTAACCATTAAAGCATTACAATTTCAATCAACCAGTCTGCAAAGCGTTCAGTTTATAGAAGGTAATGTTCTATAAAAGCTGTGAAAATAAGTACATTTATCAGCCAACAAAATAAATAGTCATAACTTTACAGAACAGGAGCCAGAGCCTTCAGTTACCAAGCTCCTCTCCTGTGGAACCAGCTTCCAGTTGTGGTTCGGGAGGCAGACACCCTCACCACATTCAAGAGTAGGCTTAAGATGTTCCTCTTTGATAAAGCTTATAGTTAGGGCTGGATCAGGTGAGTCCTGAACCATCCCTTAGTTATGCTGCTATAGGCCTAGACTATCGGGGGATTTCCCATGGTGCACTGAGCTCCTCCCTTCCTCTCTCTTTCTGCACTCATTCATGTTCCATTAATGCATGTTACTAACTTCACTTCTTCCCCAGAGTCTCTCTCTCTCTCTCTCTCTCTCTCTCTCTCTCTCTCTCTCTCTCTCAACTGGTCGAGACAGACGACCACCCACCTAGAGCCGAAGGATCTGTCCTAGGTTTCTGCCTTTTAACAGGCAGTTTTTCCTTGCCCTTGTCGCCAAGGTCTTGCTCATGGTGGTACTGTTGGGTCTCTGTAAATAATGTTATAAAGAGTTCGGTCTAGACCTACTCTATTTGAAAAGTGTCCTGAGATAACTTCTGTTATGAATTGGCGCTATACAAATAAAATTGAATTGAATTGAATCCCTGTATGTAAAAGATATACAGCATCATCCCCTGATGTGCTCGACACTGAGGCAGCTGTGGATCTTTTATCCAGCTGTTACACTGAGAGCAGCCAGGTGAACACGCAGGGTCTAAAGGGAGGAAGGTGTGCAGCAAATGTGTGAGTTTTGTCTTCTCAATGTCCAGACTTCTTATAGTATCAAGTATTTTGAACTTTCAGAAATCAGAAATACTTTATTGAAATTAGTTTGTTACAGTTGCTACAATGCTAAATTATAAAATAATTAAATTACAATATCTAACACAATACATATAGAAATAGAAAGATAGGAGAAATGAGGTTTAAAAAATGGGAATTAAATTGGCCTGAACGTTTCCTATATACAGTGGGTACGGAAAGTATTCAGACCCCTTTAAATTTTTCACTCTTTGTTTCATTGCAGCCATTTGCTAAAATCAAAAAAGTTCATTTTATTTCTCATTAATGTACACTCAGCACCCCATCTTGACAGAAATTTGTTTTGCAAATTTATTAAAAAAGAAAAACTGAAATATCACACGGTCATAAGTATTCAGACCCTTTGCTGTGACACTCATATTTAACTCACATGCTGTCCATTTCTTCTGATCCTCCTTGAGATGGTCCTGCTCCTTCATTGGAGTCTAGCTGTGTTTAATTAAACTGATTGGACTTGATTAGGTAAGGCACACACCTGTCTATATAAGACCTTACAGCTCACAATGCATGTCAGAGCAAATGAGAATCATGAGGTCGAAGGAACTGCCCAAGGAGCTCAGAGACAGAATTGTGGCAAGGCACAGATCTGGCCAAGGTTACAAAAGAATTTCTGCAGCACTCAAGGTTCCTAAGAGCACAGTGGCCTCCATAATCCTTAAATGGAAGAAGTTTGGGACGACCAGAAGTCTTCCTAGACCTGGCCGTCCAGCCAAACTGAGCAATCGTGGGAGAAGAGCCTTGGTGAGAGAGGTAAAGAAGAACCCAAAGATCACTGTGGCTGAGCTCCAGAGATGCAGTAGGGAGATGGGAGAAAGTTCCACAAAGTCAACTATCACTGCAGCCCTCCACCAGTCGGGGCTTTATGGCCGAGTGGCCCGACGGAAGCCTCTCCTCAGTGCAAGACATATAAAAGCCCGCATAGAGTTTGCCAAAAAACACATGAAGGACTCCCAGACTATGAGAAATAAGATTCTCTGGTCTGATGAGACCAAGATTGAACTTTTTGGCGTTGATTCTAAGCGGTATGTGTGGAGAAAACCAGGCACTGCTCATCACCTGCCCAATACAATCCCAACAGTGAAACATGGTGGTGGCAGCATCAGGCTATGGGGATGTTTTTCAGCTGCAGGGACAGGACGACTGGTTGCAATTGAAGGAAAGATGAATGCGGCCAAGTACAGAGATATCCTGGAAGAAAACCTCTTCCACAGTGCTCAGGACCTCAGACTGGGCCAAAGGTTCACCTTCCAACAAAACAATGAGCCCAAGCACACAGCTAAAATAACAAAGGAGTGGCTTCGGAACAACTCTGTGACCATTCTTGACTGGCCCAGCCAGAGCCCTGACCTAAACCCAATTGAGCATCTCTGGAGAGACCTGAAAATGGCTTCACCACCTTCACGTTCACCATCCAACCTGACAGAACTGGAGAGGATCTGCAAGGAACAATGGTCCAGGTGTGAAAAACTTGTTGCATCATTCCCAAGAAGACTCATGGCTGTAGTAGCTCAAAAGGGTGCGTCTACTCAATACTGAGCAAAGGGTCTGAATACTTATGACCATGTGATCTTTCAGTTTTTCTTTTTTAATAAATTTGCAAAAATTTCTACATTTCTGTTTTTTTCTGTCAAGATGGGGTGCTGAGTGTACATTAATGAGAAATAAAATGAACTTTTTTGATTTTAGCAAATGGCTGCAATGAAACAAAGAGTGAAAAATGTAAAGGGGTCTGAATACTTTCCGTACCCACTGTATGTATGTATGTATGTATGTATGTGTGTGTGTGTATATATATATATATATATATATATATATATAAGTAAAAATAAAGAAAATATATATACAATAAGAGCCTAAGTATGAACTTTATAAAAAAGCAATATATGACAATATATAGACAGAAGTAAATGTATGCCGTGGTATGTGACCATGATAATAGAAGTGAGTGTTAAAGATTGTAGTGTTACAGAAGTTACAAAGTGTGACAGAATAAGCCAGTGTATTGCACCTTGATGAAATTATTACACATTAACCAGAGACATTTCAAGCAGCAGTTTAATGAATAATGCCTTGGGGGGTTCCAGTGTCTTCTCTTTTCAGTATGACAGCTCACATGCAGGGTGCCATGGTGACGTGGTTGAAGCCACCTGAGATTACTACGAGGGTCAAGATATGGCGATGTGAATGAGGGTTACCTGTTTACCTATCTATCTGTTATTAACTAGAACAGCAGGCATGCCTGCTTTACGCTTATCGCTCTCTGTGCAATCCCTGTGGCGCCAACAGTCTGAAAGCCGTCGATGGAGGTCAGGTATGTCCTGGTGTAGCCATGTCGCAGTACTGACATTAAACTACACTACCAGAACGCCCTCTGACTCCGTGCTAACGCTGTTAGCTCGTCCATTTTATCTCCCAGTAATCTCACGTTGCCCATGATGAGAGAGGGTAGACACGACTGAAATATCCTCTTCTTCAGTCTCCGTTGTCTGGACCCCTCACTCTTCCCTAACCATTTCGTTCTTCCTCTACATCCCCTGTGTGTCTGTCTCCAGAAATTTAATTTACCTTCTAATAGGCATAGAGTCCTTAGAAAGTCCGTCAGGTCAGAGAATTAAAGTACAGACAACCTGTGTGAGCGTTTCAAACATCATAACTTCACAGCTCATATAAATGTGGATCAGATTAGTGAGAGGAATGTGCATCTTCGTTCGCATTGATGGAGAGGCCAGGAGATCCAGGATCCTTTCCTGATTGATAACTTCCATTGTTGCCGTCCCGACTAGTCTAGAGGGAAGTCTGGTGCTGTTTTTGCTCTTTGTAGAATCTCCAACCATTTCAGAAGCTTGCCACTCCTCACCTGCATTGTAGAACCTTGTGTCTACTATAATGTTCTTTTTACAAAGATGTCATTGATTTCATATCTGTATCTATCAGAGGATTTGTCATTTTATCATGAATAAAAGAAATACAACATAGTCACAGTGACTTTCTTCATTACTTCACACCAACACTACTTCTTTCGTGGCTAAATTGTGTAGCACTGTATTAGCCAGCAGGTCTTTAAATACTGAAATACTGTACTAAAGTCTGGACTCAAGACGTCTTTTCTATTGTCTTGGCATTTGCACTTGGACTTGGCCATTGGTCTCACCAGATATTCTACATGGTCTTATGTTATATGCAATACATGTTTTTTTTTAAGTAACTTCCTCTTTCAAAACAAAACCATTGATGAGTGTGTATTAGTTTCATTCACAATCCACCTAGAATGGGTATTGATATTGACTGGGAACCATGGCTACCAGCCACCATTCAGGTGGCCAATCATTGTCAATTGCAATTGTATGGCTGGCTGTCAAAACTTATCTCACTAGCAATGACTAAAGCCTTGTTTTTTTCTGTCTTGGCCTCGACTGATTCTCTCAGTTGGAGAATTTTCATTTCTGCCTGCTTTCTATAATTTTTTATTAACTTATATTAAATAAACTTGTACAATTGATTGTATGTATTTTATTATTATTTCTATCTTTGTATCCTAATTTTAAATCTACTTTATTACATTTTTATTACATTCTGTCTTCTTATTGTCTTGTCAGTTGTCTGTGAAGCACTTTGAACTGCACTAAACTGTATGAAATGTGCAATACAAATAAAGTTTGATTGATTTGATTGACTACAGCACTGACTGCAGAGAGGCCATGCTGCCAGGCACTCCTTGGCTGGAGAGTGGGGAATGTCAAATTTGACATATAAATACTGTGGCTCTGTATTAGGCTTGTACGACTATATTAAAAGTATAATATATTTTTTTATATATATACATCAGGGTGTTGTTTCCTTCAGAGTCATGGCTTTCTGTGACTTTATGTCTGTGTTGCCTCCTTCTGAGTGCTGTAGCTGCACACTACAGATGAACCCATGATAGGTGGCCATCATGATACGTACATGATAATGTAACAATTCTTTAAAAGAAATTACTCTGCTTTATTTTATTTTTGTTTTGTTTCAGAATGATGCAGAAACGTACAATGTAGAAAATTAACCTTTCATGAGTATGAATTTCATGTATTTCTAAAAGAAAACACAGTGATCTGTGTGTGTCTCGTCAGTCCCTTCAGGAAGTTGTAAAACAGAAACCAATCCCTGTGAACCCTACACCACCTTGCAATTGTGTCCAATTACTGCACCTTTTCTAATGTCATCATTGTAGTTTCCCACGAGTTTCACCAATCATAGCGGTCCTCCTTACCCCCAACCTTGAGTCAAACTGCTAGAGATTTTAGTCTCACTGCAACATTTTGCCTTTGATTTTTAATTAATTAAAAATAAATATGTAAACAATTCAAAATCACAACTAGTGTTGCAAGTTTCACTTCCTCTGGCTATTGCATTGCAACAAAATGGCTCAACACATTGCAACATGCATTGCAATATTTTTTTCAGAAACATAAAATCAGGCATTAGAGGCCTCAACAATCCGAAAAAGTCCTGTGAAATCCTGGAAGGACTGTCTTGTTTTAAAGGCTGTTAATAATAAGATTAACCCAGAGCAGTAGTGCATTTCATAATGTTGACGTTTTCAACACTTTATGACCTTAATCAATAAACCTCAAGACATCATTATCAGTAATATGAATGGCATTGCTCTTAGTTTGGTTGTGCTGCAATTAATTAAAGAGCCAATCTCTGTTTATGGACCATATCAATTATAGGTATATTTGTGTGAATTAAAACTAGTAATTGCTGTGTTAACAAACAATGTCAGAAAACATTACAATTCACGTGATGAATAAAAGTGCTTTTAAATAATCTCAGTTATTACAGTGTTGAAGTTGACAATATTATTTACTGTGCATGTCATAGAAATTCCAAACTACTTTGGAAATATCATTCATTATTAAATTACAGAATAAAAGTGGAATATATTATATTATATATATATATTATTTGTTGCAGTGTTAATACATCAGACCATTTTGGCTGGAGAGAACAACTTCTTGAGGTGTTTAGAAATTTCTTTCATTTTTAGTCCATACATGATTGGATTAAAGAGAGGATGATACATGACTATTTGTAAAGTCATTATTAAGCGTACAGTCTTTGGAAAATCTGATTCAAGCTGCACTGTAATGACATCGTATGCACACAAGCAGGAGAAGTTGATTAAAACTATTAGATGTGGTAAACAGGTCTGTGCAGCTTTTCTCCTGACGTCTTTACAACTTCGATAGGATATTATAAGAATCCTGGTGTATGTAAAAAGAATAAAAAGCACAGGGAGAAGTGCAACATTTAGCAAAATTACCATATCATGTATAATTTGTGCTCTTGAGACCACACATTGAAGTTTATAAACAGTATTGTTACAAAAAACTGCTTTTAAAGAGAAGCTACAGAGTTTTCTATTAGCACTCAATCCAGCTGGAACGGCAACCTGAGAGGCAGGCAGAATCCAGGCTAAGACCAAGAAAATACTGACAGTTGTTTTTCTCATGATAGTGGCATATTGCAGAGGTTTACATATAGACACATACCTGTCATAGGCCATGGCTGCCAACAGTAAGAACTCTGAACCACCTAAAGAATAAAATATATGAAACTGAAAGAGACAGGCTGAATAAGATATGATCTGATGTTCAGATAAAAAGTCAATCAGAAGCTTTGGGTAGATAGAAGTGCTCAAAAGAATAGAGTTGACTAACAGAGCTGCAATGAAAATGTACATAGGCTCATGGAGGTTTTGGTGACTCCAGATGAGATACACAATAGTGGAATTGCTGCAGATTATTAGAATATATACTGTTAACATAATCACAAAATAAAGATATCTGTATTTGTCCACTTCCACATGCCCACCAAGAGTTACGTATGTTACATTTAATTCATCATCCATTAACACTGTCAAATATATATGAATATGAATAGAAGAGGCAGATAATGTAACTGAGAAAAGGAATAAGCATGTATCCTGTACTGGAGAGTATTTTTCATTTACCTGACCTTAAAACACACTAAGACTGTGTTTATCCCCAGAATTCACCAAGTGAAAGTGTTTGAGTCCATGGAATGATTTTTTATCAGATTGCTCCATTCCTCCATGGATCTCATTAAAGTTGTCACCAAGAACCACTAACATGTAAACAACTTCATCAAACTCTGGAGGCCTGAACTTGTAGGCCAGGGTGCTCAGCGCATCCCTTCCAGGACTGCGACTCATACACAATACACAAGAGCAAAATAAGAAGTGAGGTCAAAATAATGACCATGTACAAGGACCCCTTACCTCCCATACCTGAGACTACTACTTGCTACTGCTGGCTTGCTTCTGACTCCCTCACTACGAGTAGGGGCCCAGTTACTGCTCAATAAAATCCCAACTGTTTGCTGTCCTGGCTCCACAATGGTGGAACAAGTTCATTGACAGAAACTGTACAAATCTTCCACTGCAGACTGAAAACTCATGCGTGTGAGTGAGTGCCCATGATAACAACTATCTGTTATTGTTTCTAAATGTAGAACTTAAAGCAGTTTAGCATATGTAGTGGTACGAGGCACCACTGCCATGTGGAACACGGTCTTCTGCTTCACCGCGCCCTCTCTGGCTTATTAGCCAATCATTGTTCATGTCGAGGGGATAAAAGTAGGCCGTGTCCCTCCTCCTGATCTCTCGCTTTCTGCCTTTGCGGTCCGCTTACTCCTGGGCAGTTGCGTGCGCCGCTCGCCTCAGCACAGGTAGGCACACCTTAGCGTGCTGTTGGTGTACATTCGTCAGCGTTTCATTTAACTTAAACCGTAACTCCTTTTTATAGATCCGATGTCTCCATCGCGGTCGAGGCGATATTTTATTTGGGGTTGTCTACCGCTGTCGACCGGAGCATTGGTGAGTCATGGTGAGCTTCTGTTGTTAATTGCTGTTAGCCAGGTGTTGAGCCCCCTTTCCACTCCTCTCCCTCTAACAGTCTGCTGGTCAATACTATTTACTTTATATATGCTCCCTTTAGGCAACATTATTAGGAATCACTCCATTAACTTTCACTGTTATGCAGATGATACGCAGTTATATCTATCAATCAAACCCAATGAAATTAATCAATTATCTAAATTACAAACATGTCTTAAGGACATAAAATCCTGGATGACCTGCAATTTTCTGATGTTAAACTCAGAAAAACGAAATTCTTGTTCTTGGCCCCAAAAACCTTAGAGACTCATTGTCTAAAGATATAGTCACTCTAGATGGCATTAACTTGGCCTCTAGCACCACTGTCAGGAATCTTGGAGTTATCTTTGATCAGGATTTGTCATTTAACTCCCACATAAAGCAGACCTCTAGGACTGCCTTCTTTCATTTACGTAATATTAGAAAAATTAGACACATACTATCACAGACAGATGCAGAAAAACTAATCCATGCATTTGTTACTTCAAGGCTGGATTACTGTAACTCTTTATTATCAGGTTGCCCCAATAAGTCCATTAAAACGCTCCAATTAATTCAGAACGCTGCAGCACGAGTACTGACAGGAACTAGAAAAAGAGATCACATCTCTCCTGTACTAGCTTCTCTGCATTGGCTCCCTGTAAAATGTAGAATTGAATTTAAAATCCTCCTCCTCACCGATAAAGCTCTTCATGGTCAGGCCCCTTCATATCTTAAAGAGCTCATAGTACCCTATTACCCCACTAGAACACTACGTTCTCTGAATGCTGGGCTACTTGTGGTTCCTATAGTCTCTAAAAGTAGAACAGGAGCCAGAGCCTTCAGTTACCAAGCTCCTCTCCTGTGGAACCAGCTTCCAGTTGTGGTTCGGGAGGCAGACACCCTCACCACATTCAAGAGTAGGCTTAAGACATTCCTCTTTGATAAAGCTTATAGTTAGGGCTGGATCAGGTGAGTCCTGAACCATCCCTTAGTTATGCTGCTATAGGCCTAGACTATCGGGGGATTTCCCATGGTGCACTGAGCTACTCTCTTCCTCTCTCTTTCTGCACTCATTCATGTCCCTTTAATGCATGTTACTAACTTCACTTCTTCCCTGGAGTTCTTGTGCTTTCTCGTCTCGCAGGTTCTCATGGATCCTGGTGGAGCCTCCTGCCATGGTCCTGCTTGACTGCCATTACCAATACTGTTGTTGCTGTGCACCTGTCTGTCTGTCTGTCTCTCGCTCTCTCTTTCTGCCTCTCTCTCTCTCTCTCTCTCTCTCTCTCTCTCTCTCTCTCTCTCTCTCTCTCTCTCTCTCTCTCTCTCTCACCCCAACTGGTCGAGACAGACGACCACCCACCTAGAGCCGGAGGATCTGTCCTAGGTTTCTGCCTTTTAACAGGCAGTTTTTCCTTGCCCTTGTCGCCAAGGTCTTGCTCATGGTGGTACTGTTGGGTCTCTGTAATTAATGTTAAAGAGTTCGGTCTAGACCTGCTCTATTTGAAAAGTGTCCTGAGATAACTTCTGTTATGAATTGGCGCTATACAAATAAAATTGAATTGAACTGAATTGGTCGCATGATACGTGGTGGCTGTCTCCCCTGCTACGCCGACCCTCTTCACCCCTGTCCCTCTTTGGACGGGATGCAAATTAACCGGACTGGGGACCGGAGTTTATGCTTCGTTGCTACTGCTTCGCTGTTGCCGCTGCTACTTCGGCTTTCATTACTACTTAGTTGCTACTGTTGCTTCGTTGGCTTGGTTCGAAGTCCTGTCAGCTGTCTCTGGTCGGTTTGCTTCCTGCTGTTGACCCTGTTTCCCGCTGCTGCTGTGCGTGGGATTGTGTGGTGTGTGTATGTTTGCTGCTCGGGTAGGCCATTGCGAGTTCCGCTGGGACTCTCAGCCACTTGTTTGGACTGTGTGTGTGTGTGTGTGTGTGTGTGTGTGTGTTTTTAAGGGTAATCTGCCAATGTGTGGTGTAAATGTTTATTTATTTTCTCAGTAGCAGTATAATTTCTTTTTGAGCAACTTTTTAATAGTTTGGTTGCTTATTGTTTTGTTTGGGTAATTTTGTTTATTTTAGAAGTTTACTGTAATTACTGTAATTATTTAATTTCTATTTGGGAGGGGAACTTCTCAATTTGAGCCTTCCTTTATTTGAGTTCAAAGTGGGTTAATTATGGTTACTGTTGAGTTGATATCTCTGGCCAGAGACTCTTTTCTTTGGTTTGATTGATTTCTGATTAATGTAAATCAATACTCTTCAGTTCCTTGATTATTCATTAGTTTGTTTATGTCAAGAGATATTGTTTGTTTTAACTGTGCCTCTTATCTTCTCCTAGAGCTGAAGGCCGACGGTGGCGGTGGTGGTTCCCCTGGGTGGTGGTGGTGATCCCTTGTGTGTGCGTGAGCCTCGTTCAAGATTTTCTTTGTGTGCACGTCACGTTTTTGCTGTGTGAGTGGGTGCTCTCCTCTTTCTTTTTTGGACATCACTTTCCCCTGTCGACCCCTTCTCCAGCCGGTAAGCCTCAGCCGGTACCCCTTCCCTTCCCTAGTTGGGCTCCAGTCTCCTATTATTCGTTTGTGCCAAACTTTGTGTTCATTTACACAATCAAATTTTGTATGTGATCATTGAACTCTGTCTCCTGCCCTCCTTGAGTGAACGAACCTGAGTGTCCTTTTGTAAGAGGTGACAATTTACCTTTAGTACGGGTCCTTGGGCCCTAACCCAAGGTGGCGTTGTCGGTAACAAATAAAATGGAAAAGATCATCTGATAACTGATAACTAATCATCCCACCCTCGTTTCGCTACAATTCAATTCAATTCAATTTTATTTGTATAGCGCCAATTCATAACAGAAGTTATCTCAGGACACTTTTCAAATAGAGCAGGTCTAGACCGAACTCTTTAACATTAATTACAGAGACCCAACAGTACCACCATGAGCAAGACCTTGGCGACAAGGGCAAGGAAAAACTGCCCGTTAAAAGGCAGAAACCTAGGAAAGATCCTCTGGCTCTAGGTGGGTGGTCGTCTGTCTCGACCAGTTGGGGTGAGAGAGAGAGAGAGAGAGAGTGTCACGTTTTTGTTTTACTCGTTACAACGGTTATTTTCCCACTTAACATTTAAACGTAGACTAGTTCTACCTAAGCCCTTGGAGCTACTTCCTTCTTTTAGCGACTTTTCACTATTTACAAAGTGTTCACTCACGCTAGCTACATTAGCAACACTCAATGGTGGCTTTGTATGGCTGGACGGAGCGGCTCTCTTATCTAGGAATATGACCAAGTTTATTTCTGAAACCTGACAATCCAGAGTTAGGACCAGGAAGCAGAGCTGCTGTCTTACACACTTCTCTGCTCTTTCTTTAGAACAGTCACCCACCCAAAACCCCATAGAGACTGTGTCTGTCCCCCGACCACCTAAATTATTTAAAGAAATAAAAACAAGAGGAGTTCAACATAAAAACCTAATAAAAATTAAAACTAACTCCTCAGTAGCACAAAATAAGAGAATGAAATGTGGGCTGTTAAATATCAGGTCTCTGTCCTCTAAAGCTGTTTTAGTGAATGAATGAACAGAGTCCTATAACAACTTTAGTCCCTCCCAAATTTATAATCTTGTCGATAGTGCTGCAGGCTCACTACTATCAACATTAGATTCTATCGCCCCTATAAAAAGGAAATTATTAAAACATAGGAGATTAGCACCGTGGTACAACCACCAAACCCGCCAGTTAAAGCATAAAACAAGGAAATTTGAAAGGAAATGGCGCTCTTCCAAATTATTAGAATATCACTCAATTTGATAAGATATTCTTAAAACGTATCGAAAGGCCCTCCGTAATGCCAGAGGAGCCTATTACTCAACCCTAGGTTCCTCTTCAGCACTGTAGCCAGGCTGACAGAGAGTCAAAGCTCTGTTGAGCCACATATCCCCATAAACTTAAGTAGCAATGACTTCATGAGCTTCTTCTATAATAAAATTATTACTATTAGAGAGAAAATTAATCACCAACTGCCATCAACAGTTATCAGTGGCTCTCCAAGGTCAGGAACTTTAACTAATGTAAACTTAGATATATATTTAGAATGTTTTTCTGCTATCGATCTTCATCAGTTAACTTCAATAATTTCTTCAACAAAGCCATCAACCTGTC